CACATAATGAGGAAATGAGGTAGTCGAAATCACCACCCGAAACTTTAGATCCTAGACGAAGTTCTCCCAGTGAACGGCCCTTCTTCTTCTTCTTTTGACATGTCACCAGGGCATTGTATTTTCACTATTAGCAAGCAAAATATTTTTAAGAGGCACTGGAGACGAAGACGTCAGTGGCCTCGTCAACGAGGACTGGTGAAGAAAAACGCAGACCTTTATTTGCATACTCTGGGGACCTAACAGCTGTTATTTTTGTCATCTGCAGGTCCCATTTACCGAAAAATTAAATGATGTTGCATTCATTTGTATCTGCATTCCGCTTCAGCTTGTGGTGACGCATTGGCTCTATGTCCAAGCCCTGCTGTAAGGGAGAACCTGTTTTATTGTCCAATGAGAGTTCTGTTCTATTATGCGTCCGTGCGGACCAAGTCTAGTACTGGTAGGCTTCAAAAGTTTGTCTCTTCTCATGCCCGTCGCGATGCTTCCATCGACGATGTGCTAATTAAACATAGAAAGAACAATGCTAAATTCGTCGTTCGGCCATTGAAAACGAATCATGGTGGCTTCTGCACTGTCTGCTTAATTTCAATAGAGGAACTTTATTTCATACTGCATGAAGATGGATTTTTAAGCAACTACGCATCGACAGCAAGTCTCGTCTGTCCAAAGTGGGCATTGTGGAGAAGTCAGAAATTCAGCAACCGTCGGGTTTAATTACTTCTCCTCAAGTCAAGCTCCACTCATCTAGCACCACCCAACCCGACTTTAGAGGAACCTATGATGTCTGGTGCCCGACATTCAGTCAGAATAACATTTACCCCCTAAAAGTGCGATGAGTTTGGTTCTCTTGTGGTCGTCAGCGCAGTCGCTTACTCATGGCGTCTTTCTGTCCACCCCACGCGCTCTGTTAATCACTGGCTTGAGCCGCGCTAGACTTGGGACCAGCGTGGTGCGAGTTCGAGGCCTTCGTCATTCGTTGATTGGTCGCGGGCGAGAAGGGCCTAGGTGTGCGCCGCGGTTAGGTTGCTTAGCTACATGCCGCATTTAGGCTGGTCCAACCCAACCTGTTTTTCCTGGTTGGTGATTTGGGGATTTTCGAGGTTTCCACCATACTACCTCGATACTCCTCTTCCGTTCGGTTGCTTGTTCACTTCTTCTTCTACAGCCCGTTGGACGAGTTACTCTAGACGCTGTCATGCCTGCTTTCAGCATTTGGTCGGACCCCTACAATTACGTCTAAAGTCTGGCTCAGTATCTTAAATGCTATTGCTCTCGTGATAACCATCTTCGACAAGTCCGTCGTTCAACAGCTGGTGAATCGGACTGAGTCACATCACTTCTCCCTACACTATGGTCTATTTACTTAGCAGCCTTTTAGCGTCTCTTATTAGCATGTCTTTCTAGGAGTCTAAAATGAACGATGTTTAGACTACCGCCCGAATACTCCCATCTCTAAAAAGATCAATTACTTTGATCCTATATCCTTCAGTCCAATTACAGTAGATGCGATACCTCATGAAGTGCTAACCTAAGCCATGAAATGCTTTCGATTCGGAAAGACTACCTAAGTAGGGTCGCGAAATCAATTAACTCACAGCATAATTCTAAGATATTTCGGGCATGTCAGAATGTCGGCTCTTGAATGAGCTTCCTTTCAACCGCATTCTGCAAAGGTGACTGCTTAAGTAGCATGACAGAGGTGAGACCCGGTCGATTTCGAGTTCTATTCCCGCACATTTAATCGATACGAACCACTGAGTCGATGCCAAGAAAGCATTTCAGGTTTTCTACCGGACACCAACATGCTTCTCTAAAGGCCTACGCCAACGGATACTAGCAACGGCCGAGGCAGTAGCTATACGGAAAGCGAACCCGGTGTTATGCTGTCAGAAAACTCTGACACAAGCGCTTTCTCTGCCGTGGTCAACGCCAACCCCAAGTGATGAAGCCATGCCGCCTCAAATCCCCAATCACGATGATGGGTACTCCGTGTACTCAATCCAAGAACATCACTCAAAGACTCTCTTAACCTCCTCCCCTAACTCTGACGACTAACACCCGCCGACCTTGTCGTGCGGGCGGCGTGGGGATGATGAGTGTTAGTGACTTAATAGCCCTTGAGACATCTATAAACACTGTTGATTTTGTACATTTTCATCCCTTCATGTAATTGTATTGGCCTGACGAAGAATTACCGAAAAAGCGTGTTTGCCAACTTGACTTTTGAATTTGTTAACATTGACTTTTTAATGTCTCCATACTTTTGAATATATTTTATAGAAAATGTGCGCAAAAGTGTTCTTTCTTGAATTGATTGGATAGAGAATCCCGTCTTCTTTAAATGTTATGTATGGGGAAAAAATATCTACGACTTAAAAAACGTTTCTAGCCAGGAAATTTTTATGACCGAGAAATGCCCAATCATGCAGCATCGTATAAGCGTGTTAATTCATGCTGTTGATAAAGTGAATAACATGGTCCAATTCCATCCCAAAATTTTGTGAGCTCTACATGACTTCTTCTTAATAGTGCATAAAATGTATGATTTTCCTTACATGGGAAAAAATGGCTTGTAGTTTGGAAACCCTGGATGAAAGTGCAACGACAGGTCGGGTTCAAAACTATTCGGGAATCGGCAAAAAGTTTCTTAAAACAGCACCTTCAGGTATAAAATTTGAAGAGGACGAAAGCCGCCATCAAATGAGTAAAGTGAATAATATTTTTGTGCATTTTTCCTGTAAAAAGTATTTGAACTCATAAGGACACCTGAAATTCACGGAAGAGAAGTTTATACTATTTAAGACGTCAATTGTTAAGGAATTTAGTTTATGCTGGCGGCCTGCTTGAAGGCTGTCATCCTGACGCGAATGAATGATGTGACGACGTTATTTAAGCAATTTTTGCAAATTACAAAAACCAATTTCAGAATTTCAGTTAATATTTCAAGAGGTAAAATATCTACTGTAATTTTTCATCCATACACCTAGAGCTGATGTTGTCGTAGACACCGCCACCCCATACTACCCCACATTTTCAAACTCGCAGAGTGGTACCTCGGACGCTGTTGTTCTAATGGCCCGCCCGGTTCTAGGAGGCGCAGGCATATGCATTCCCTGATTGCTCATCGGCCTTAAATACTAGTCCCAACTACCTCCTAGCACACGGAGAATTGTTCTTTCCCTGTTCTGTTTGTTCAGTCTGCGCAATTGGAGCTGAATACGTGGGGTTCTGTATGTCAGCAACAAAGCAGGTGAAGAATTGATTGAGCCGGTCGCTGATTGACTGGCACCCCGTATGACGGTCGCTCGTTCTGCTGCAGATACTACCTCTGATGATGGATTCCTGCACGATTTCTGGAGCTCAAAGCAACAAAGTGATGGGCACGGTGCTCGATCAGACTTCTTCTCCTTTTTCTTTACTCAATTTACTAACAAAATTCCCGAGGATCCTACTCACCCACTCCTAACCAAACTAACTGCTGTGAGCGGTTTTCGTCCAAGCCCGTGTGGTTTCTGTCGTAAGCTAGCATACGACGATCAGTCGTACCATCCTTGGCGTGACTCCTGACGTGTATTAATACTGAAAACTGGATATTGAGATTGGAATCTGGTAGCATGGTAGTCACACCGTCTTATGTTGACATTTTTAGCCAGTTAAGTCTACATTTAGCCGTTTTTATGCTGGCACTGGTGATTTAAGTGTGACTTCACTTAAGACGTGGAATAATAATCTCAAAATAGAACTGTCTCTCTTGATTTGTCGTTATCTCCACGCATATCGTCCTCTCGGTCGTATCTTCTGGCGACCATCACCTGATAGCAGTCCAACGATTGTCCCTTTCTTGTACCCCCTACAACTAGCATACAAAGCTGGACTCGGTACCATAAACACTGCAGCTCTACCCGTTCATTTCGCTCTCTGGGGCTTGGGTAATGGTCGACTTCTCGACTGCTCGTCTACTTTGAATACTGTTTCGCTCCGCCTTCTGAGAAGGCAAACGCAGTCGCTTACTCACACGCCTCCAGTCCACCCTACAGTCTGGTGGATTATCTACAATGACCTCAGTTCAGAGCGTTGATAAGCAATCTTTGTAGACACTTAATGTTGATTTTTTAATTGTCCTGCTTAATTTCGGTTGCTATATGTCAATGCATTAAAACTTTCCGTCCGAAAAACGAATATACCAACTATCTCTACATACTTTGTCAATCCTCTATGCATACATAGGTCCCGGCCGTAAAACCCCTATTACCATCTTTCCCGTTAGACAGGAACCTTTGGCTGCTCGCGTGTGTTTGGGGTCGTTCACCCGATCGTTGCCCTCTTTTTCACTGCGTCTTTCCATACTGTAAAAGCGGGTATCTACCCAAGAGAGAATTAGCCTATTAATACCAATTATTCCGATCTAACGGATATCCGATTGGCTTCGTGAAAAATTGTCCCAGACGTCATAGGCAACCACAACGTCGGACTTCTGGTGGAGAAGTGGTACAGGAGAAATATTACTTCTTGCTCTACATGCAAGGAATTTGCGAAGCGATCATCCGACAATTCAACCGATTTGGCATCTGCATTGCCCACAAGCCGACGTCCTCCTCACGAGCAGCATTATCTCGGGTAAAGGACCCCATATCCAAAGAACAGCAAACTAACCTCATTTACCGCATCCCGTGCGCTAACTGCCGTTGCGTTTACATTGGTCACACGAGTCGACAACTTGGGACTCGCATTAGTGAACACAAGCTGGCCATCCGCCGACGCGACCCCTTATCTCTTGTGTTTGGACCCGCTCTTGATTCTGACCACTGATTCAATTTGGACGGTACCGAGGTGGTCGCCATGGCTAACACCAAACAGGCAGGGGAATTCCTCGAATCTTGGCACTCCGGTGAGGATAGCATTAGCAGCCATGTTGGCCTAGATGTCCACTACAAGGGTCTCCGATCGCGGTGGACTGACTGGCGCCCACCTTAAGAACGACTGCTAATGCGTGCCAGGTCATGCATGATCTCGCCGACACGCCACTCCTCCCTCCCTCCCTCCCTCCGTCCTCCTCCTCCTCCTCCTCCTCCTCCTCCTCCTCCTCCTCCTCCTCTTCTTCTTCTTCTTCCTCCTCCTCCGCTCCATTCCCCTCAACACGGTGAGCCCCAGCTGAGACTCACAACGCCTGCCCTCACCTTCTGCGGCCATCGCAACACGGTGCACACATCTCCCTCGCAAAGTCATCTGTTTATCTCTCTGTGTGTGTCCTCAACCAGCAGTGTGACAATCCCCCCTCTCACTATTCACTTCGTCTGACGACGGATTGATGTAACCAGCTCGAAAATTTACGAGTAAAACTCTTCTTTTCCGACGAAATTCCTCCCTTCATATATGTAGAATGACGGGTGGCGAGGTACTGATGAACTTCGGTTCGATGAAGCGCCTATGACCCGTCTGGTAGACCTCATTGGTGTACTAACTGCGCCAGGTGCATTTGTGCGCATGTTTGTGTTTTCGGTCCCAACTGCTGGTCAGCGTTATGATTGGCTGAATGAAGGCAAAATAAATCTGAAACAGTACTGTACCAATCTACCCTCATTCTCTGTCAAAGGGGTGTTCACCGATCGTTCTTACGGAAATGACTCCGATACAAGCGAAGATGCGAGTTGCAGGAACCAGTTGATCAGAAGAAGAAGCGATCGCTGGAACAAGGTCTTTATTCGCCTGACGTTTCGGATTCTCACTTGAATCCATCATTAAAGACAGTAGTTACTACTACTACTACTACTACTACTACTACTACTACTACTACTACTACTACTACTACTACTACTACTACTACTACTACTACTACTACTACTACTACTACTACTACTACTACTACTACTACTACTACTACTACTACTACTACTACTACTACTACTGCTACTACTGTTACTACTACTGCATCTACTACTGCATCTACTACTACTACTACTACTACTACTACTACTGCTACTACTACATCTGCTACTGTCTCTGATGATGGATTCAAGTGAGAATCCGAAACGTCAGGAAATGACTCCTTCCATTGTGCCTTACGGGCTCTCTCTCGAGCCCGAGGTCCGGTGGTTAGAGGCGTTGGACTTCTAACTAACAGGCCACGAGTTCGAGCCTCAGGTATTCCACATTTCGGGGTTGGGTACGACTGGCTGACGTTGGCTAATAAGGCAGAAATGGCCATTCCAGTCTCCCTTGTCTTGGTCGGTAATAACATCTATATCTATATATATAAAAATGGAAGGGTTTTTTTCTGTGTTATATGTAATCTCCGAAAGTACTGCACCGATTGCGCTGAAATTTGGACACAACCCGACCCGCGCATACGGCCGGGTTTTGTTCTGTTCAATTTTGTAATTATGCCGATGGTATGCCTGTGATGGGTGAAAAACCGGATTTTTTCCGGCCTAACAACGCCACCTGCTGCGGCCACTTGACCTATATCGCGCGCGGACACATGTGCGCCCAGACTGTGGCCACTTGACCGACATTCGCTCAAACGCACCTGCTCCGCCCGACGGCCACGCTCACCCCACCCCCTCCGCAGATAATTGAACAGGCCCTCCCCTCCACCATGGGCCAGTGTAATCTGGGCCGGTAGGCAAACCACCCACCCTGCAGCAAAAAAAAAGCACGCAACTCTTGGGCTCCACTTGAACTTGCCCAACACTACCCTCATTAATGCGGCTGTCACTGCGTCCGCTGGGATTCTCGGGCGCAACGACTGGATGCGGTTAACACCGCCCCCTTCCCCCCTCCCCCCACGCACAACACAAATAAGGGGCCTGTCACCCAGTGTCAGCCCAGTGTCGTGCAGCTGGGCTGGCGGAAGCCCGCTTGCGGTCACGGCTACCGCGTTCTGCAGCTTCAGGGCTGCTTCGTTCAACGACAGAATGAACAATACCAGCTGCGAGTGGCCGAATGGCGCCAGCAAGGAACAGCAGACCAGCGTCAAACACGACTCCGTGCTCAGCATTCACGCTGCGTGATGCTGTTGTTAACGACGGTACGACAACAACCGTTGGAAGACTGATGATTTTAGGGTAAGGTGATTGTCATTCATGCAGAGAAGACGCCTGCTGGACAACATGGACGACGATTCAATGTCCCTACTATAGACAAAGTGGCAATTGTTATGGTCGGAGACCGATTTCAACGTAGTGATATTGTTCGTCATTGGCGAAACGGTCAAATGACAAGAGTTGCAGAAACTCATCGGCGTTACGCCGCCCTACAGTATCTATTTACTTTTCGGAATGGTGTTGGTGGATATTACTTCAACGTTAAGATGATAAATCCAGTCAGCGACGAGGAAACGCACATGAAATGCAGCTCAATGAACTACTACCCCTACCGACTTATGATTCGACAGAATGTAAGTAATTCCCTTTTTGAAATGCCATCAATTGTTTCATCACTACATTGTGCATATGTATGCGAAAATTGTAACAGAACGCCTGCTTTTAATTCTCTTGAATCAGACCAAGCTGCGCGCTTAAAAATACATTCCTTTGCATGATGCAGTTGTAAACGACGGTAATACAACTAACAACCGTAATACGACTAACGCTTTCGTCATCCACATACACAGACAGTCCACGCCATATGTTCGAGTGCGCTCGAGGTGGAATTGCTTACGTTTGTCAGTAAGGGCGTCCAGACCTACTCATTACATTCACATGCAATCCAGTTTGGGGGGATATTAACCAGTTCCTGCTTCCTGGGCTATCGCCGGTGCGTAGGTATAACATCACAACACGTGTTTTAAGGAAGAAACTGCAATCGCTGATGAACTTCATGGTGAAACACGAGGTGGTTGGATCTGTGCGCTGCTGGATGTATTAGCTGGAACGGCAAAAGAGGGGACTGCCCCAGGCACATGTCTTGGTCTGGCAAGATCACCTACAACGAAATCTTTGTCGGTAATATCATTCTGCCAATATGTGCTGAATTACCTGACACCGACGTCGACAATGATTTGCATGAAGTTGTGGTGAAGAATATGATACATGGCCCTTGAGGTGCACTGAATCCCAAT